TTGAGATAGAAGGCTAAAATTAGGCAGGTTAAGTTCGTAAATGGGCCATGTCGATCCACGTTGTCGTATAACGGTAAGTCCCGGTACTCGGTATTTTCATGATTTTAGCGACAGTTTTACCGGAATTATTTCAAATTTCATATTTAAAGCTCTTAATGGGTGCTACAGCCTATTACAAAAATATTTCGTATTTGAAGTTCGTAATAGGTACTACAGCCTAAGACAAACATTTTTGTATGCCGGTCCACGTCTTCGTATAGTCTCTATATAACATTTTTCATTTATGTGGTACTTTCCGGAAGTTTTTTGAAAATTTTCAAGTTCCTTCCGAATGGTGGAGGGTATTAAAAATTCTTTTTTACTTGTTTTTTACGCTTTGTAGGTATTTTAGTTTTGAAGTGAAATATATGCAGTCTTTTACGAAAAATATGTTTTAATTTTGAATGTTCATTGCTCTGATAATCCAACTCAAACAAACTTTCAGTAATTTCTTATTCTGCAGCCTTAGATTATTGGGATAGAGTTATATGGTCTGTCCGAACAATAAACAGATCTATCCAAACAAGATATATGTTTTATACGTTCAATAGGAATTTGAACGGATCTACCATCATTAACCTAGTCGGGCCAGCACTACTTGATTAAGAGCCTAGTTATCTAAGCAACCAATGTTCTTCAATTGCAATGTTTGGGGATGTACTACGTTTGACCTCCGACTCTGGTCCACATAGATACTTCCTGTGCCCCCACACGGTAAGTTCTATCTACCACATAATGGTTTTGATGACTACAACGGTAATATCAAAATATATACTATACTATATATAATTTACGTCTAGTATTGCAGATGTTCCATTTGGGTAGTTGTTTTAACGTATGCTCCTCGAAAAAATAAAAATGTATATTGTTTTATTTCCTTCTTTACATCCATGTCTTTGTGCATTACTTTGCAAAATTCAGAAGGAAACGATCGTCCCTTTTGATGGTCTTCATAGAATCACATTCTTAGTCGGTTTATGCATGTCCGTCTATCTGTTCGTCTGTCCATGTATTTTTGTAAAAAAAAGCACAGACCGCATTTATTGTCCGATTAAGATGAAAGTTTCCACAAATTTTTGTAGGACAAACCCTATTGAAATTGTTTAGAATCGGTTCAGATATAGATATAGCTCCCATATATATGTTCCCTCCGATTTTGTGTTTAAGTCCCTCACATTCGTAATATGCACACGACAACAATTGTTTTCGGTACCAGATGTCAAATACAGCCCAGAAATATCAGATTTTATCAAAATCGGTTGGGATTTGGATATAGCTCCCATATATGTCTTCATCCGATTTAACGTTTCAGCCGATTTGACGTTTAGACGCCTTATCTCCGTATTATGCACTCTACAACAATGATGTTTGGTACCAGATATCATATACAGGTCAGAAACACCTCTGCCAAAGTAATCGTTAAAGTTGTTTACCGTTTCTTGAAAAGAATAATCCTATTTATCTAACAAAAATGCACAATTTATCGATGATAGTGTCGGAAATGGCTACTTCTTCCTATAGAAAATAGCGACGAAATATGCATATTAAAATATATTTTTCCAATAAGGAATTAAATTTGGAAATGCCTTCCTAATAATTTTCGTACTGAAATTAGTTACTTTTATTTTGACTTACTATGAAATAAGGTCAGAGAACGATGTTAAATGTCCCCTTGAAATCAACAAAAAACTGAATACATTTTGTATTCCCCTCATCAAATTTACTTCTTATTTTACTAACTTATTTCAAAGGTTGATAATGAGTTTTGCGTTTGACTTTCGTTTGAAATGTAAATATAAAATATATAGTTTCTACACAAAGTTGAGAGGATAATTAGCAGGAATCTAATTGCATTTCTTAATTAAAATTTCCTTTAATTTTCAAAACTGCATAGGATTTGCGAGGCTAAATTTAATGAAAATTTAATGGATTTTGTCATTGCATATTAAAATATACTGTCTCTTTTGGTTTTTGATTAACATTATTTTGAATAATATGAATTTACAAAGGGTATATTTACTTGCAAAATAACCTTTTCAGATTATAAAAGTAAATATGTTTAAAATCAGCTCGACTGTCACTCTGAGCTATTTTTTTACTAAATTTTTGCAACAAAATTGTCTGCATTTATGGGACTCAATTTCTCAGTGGATAGATCAGTTTATTTCAATATACGGCGCGTCTTAAATATCGTAATTAAAATAATTCCATGGTGGTTACCGTTATATAGAAACAGTGGACAAATATGGACAATGTTTTGACACCAGTTGTAGAGCTTATTACGTACCACAAATACCAAATTTAACATAAACCGTTGGAAGATGTGGCTTAAATCGTCAAACTACCTAATATCCAAAGCTATCGTTATATGGTATTGAGAGTATAGAAGAGTGTTAAGTTTGTACTATGCTCACTCAAAAGGGCAAATCTAAATATCTTGGAGGATGGTCTTAGTATTAAGTATTAGAAATTAAAAAAAAAATATCCCAATCAATTTAAAATATTAGCATTAAGTATTAGAAATTAAAAAAAAATGTTTCCAATCAATTTAAAAGTTTCGCCATTTATTATAATTGGGTGGTGCTATTACATGATAAAATGTGGGCATGCCATTTGGGCGTTATCTATTAGAATCTTATTACGTTAAAGTCAAGTAGCTGGAAAATTTGATCAGGACCTTCCAACCGATTAAAATGTACTAGGTCATGAACTTGTTTGACATTTCTATTTTGAAATTACAGTCAATCAGCAAGCCGAAATCACCAAAAGACCAAAAATATACACAACCAATCATGTTTATATATTCTATGGACTTTTTAAAGCGTACGACTGAGTACTACCATTACATAGAAGTTATAGCGAATACCCATTGAGATCTCAAAGTATCAAATTAAAGGCTCTTCGTTCAAAAAATGGCTTAAGAATCGATCGGTACCAAAGCCGTGTTAAATATTAAACCATTCTAATTGTTTTATTGAAAATATCAAGATGTCAATTGAAAAAGTTGTAGTATTGAAATCACCATAATTACTACTCCATAATTACTACATTACAGATGATTCGGTTAAATGGTCTTAGGAACTTCACTATAATTAAAATTGACCGGTTGTTTTTTTTTGATGGGGACTACCATATGGGGACATTTCAATACAAATCGTCTTAGGAGTACGACAAGTGTGTCTTTAATTAACTTATTTTAAACTGTCTAAAACTTTTAGATTTCCGTTGTAAGCCACAATTTTAAACAAAGTCTTTCAATTGAAATATCGTATAATTAAAAACTCAAAAATAATCATCACAAACTAAAATGACGACGTTTATTCAGATAAGTATATTTTTGGAAAAGCTAAAAGTACAGGAGTTGACGCTTTTTGTAATTCTTCCTTGGAACGTTTTGGGGTGACTCTGTAATGTATTAAATGCTGCAATAAAAATATTTATATGCTACTGATTGAAAAGAGGAGGATATACTGTATAGAAAAGAGATTATCTTAAATTAGTCATTCCATTCCTCCTAATATTCGACGGAGACTCCATAAAGTATATATACATATATATATATATATATATATATATATATATATATATATATATATATATATATATATATAATCAGTGTAAAATTCTAAGCCGATTTAACGACATCACTGTTAAACCCAAGATGTAGTTAACATTTTGTGACATTGAGCTGTGAAATTTGACATAATTATAGGTTTATGGGTCAACATTTTCCTATGGCCTCCGTATAACGTTACCTCCCGATTTACGATGTAGCCCACATTGTATATGGAATTCGTTTAAACTGAGTATATGTAGTTGGTAATGGTTACTACCACCGGTATCAGAACATTGTCCATATTCGTCCACGGTTTCCATATAACTGTACTTTGTGATATTCGATATTTTCATTATTCTAGCCACATTTTTCCATGGAATTGTTTTAAATTTTGTATTTAAGGCTAGAAATAAATAACAATACTTGTAGTAAGAAATTATCTATATACGTTCATGTTGTTTTTTTTTTTCCACCCACTTTAAGGTATATTCAAAAGTTCAACTTCGTTCTCCTTGCTATTTGTAGTTTAAAGTGCAACACTTTCGAATATTGAATCTTACCTTAGTTCGGTCCGGCCGAACTAAATTTTTTTATTTAACAGAATTAAATATTTATAGGCCCAAAAATACTGAAAAGTTTTTATCTGAACTGCACATCAAGTTCAGCAGGGTTAAACAAATAAATTATCCAAAATCTATTCTCAGTTGGGTAAAAATCACGAACTGTGATTTGCTTAACAGAAGGCACATTAAGAAAATTCAGACACGCATAAATATTCTCGGAGTATTTTTCTATATAAATCATCAATGATGTATATGTTTCCCTCTGCCTCTGTTAGCCGACTTTCGAGCCGAAGTCGGACCGAATTCACAAGGATAGTCATGGCAATTTCGGAAGGGAAATTAGAGTTGTCGGAACGATTTGGACCGAACTCAGAAGTAATATCGTGTGCATTTCTGATTATTTCGCCGACTTTCTAAGAGTTTTCGCTTTTATGAAGTTCTGATGTAGATGTCATAATGTAATCGACTATTCTTCAATAATAACTGTTTAGTATGTATCATATACATTTTCTGAAAATAATATTAAAATCTGGTACTCGACAATGTAAACATTCACTCGCTTCACTAGACTCGGGTTATAAAATTCTTTAGACTATATTTCAAATATCATTGGATCACTGCAGTTGATTGTTGCGTCCATTATACGTTCCATATAAATCTCTCAGCTGCATAAGCATTAGAGATTCCCGACTTAAGTACTTGTATTAATGTTATGGCAATCCATTAATACCATTACGGATGGTAATTCAAATGTATGTGAGCATGTCCTTTATTTCATAGAAGGTGTTGCCCTGCACATTTTACTGCAAGCCTTTATTAAAAATCCTTTTTTCGTTTTTTAGGTTGGCACAGGTGGCATGGACTCCAAAGTCAAAGCAGCTACATGGGCACTAGACCGTGGTGTGAGTGTTGTTATTTGCAATGGTATGCAAGAAAAGGCCATTAAAACTATAATTGGTGGCAGGAAAGTAGGAACATTCTTCACAGAATCAACAGAGGGCTACACGACTCCTGTCGAAGAACTTGCTGAAAACGGTACGTATAAAATTAGTTACCACAAATCTAAAAGTTTTTACTAAAAAAGAGAAGAAAAAAAAACAACTGTTGCCATTAGATGGGTGAGCAATGTAATTTGTTGCACATTTCCATTTAATGTCGTCCTTATTGTTAAAGCATAGCAATTTTTCATTTCCTATACCAGCTAGTTTTTGTGTTGTTGTTAAACAAATGCTTGCAAGTTTCCAAAAACTTTTATTGCTGTTCAGTTTTTGTAACCAAAATCCGTAGCAAAATAACAGTACTGCAGTTTGTATTTCGAGCGACGATGTATTAGGGAAAATGTGGGTGGCACAAACATATGTCAAATATTCGAATGTTTGTAGCCATAAATGGGGAAATAACACTAATACCATCAAAATAACTAACAAAGATCTGGAAAATGTCTAAATGATGGACCCTCAAAGCAGGTTTCCATTACTTGCCCCTCTACAAATCTATATTAAGCATAATATAATAGAGAATAATTTTGAAACACAAAATGTGCAATTTCAACACACTGTTAACATTGCTTGTGGGCAAAATGTCTATTAAAGCGTAATAGAATTATAAGTTTCACCACAAAACTGTCCACTCTCCATATGCAGAGAAAGTTCACGACGTTTACTTCTAGTTTTGGACATTGTATGTTTTTTTGTGGTTAACAGAAGTATTTTAATTAAAATGCTTTTTCAATTGACGCAAATTGCCATGGGTGAAGGATGCATTTGTTGGATTCGACAAAAGAAAACGTAAAGAGTTTACATTCTGAATAATAAGATAGAGGAAAATTGTGGTTATATTTCAATGAATTTTTGAGTAGTTTTAGTAATTATTGGTTAATTTTCCAATTTATTTTTGTGAGAAAGGAAATTAGAAAAGAAGAAATTGTTTACAAAAACAGGAAATTATTTCTTGAAAATCATTTTTAAAAATAAATTAGAAATTTATTAAATTATTTATTCATTTAATTTAACAATGCAATAATTTTATACGCTGTGTTTTATGGCTATAGAGAGTATATATCATTTCATATTACCAAAATGTAGATCATCAAAGTAAGGGTTTTATTCCTTAGGGATCGTTCGGTGAGATCTTCTAGTGGATATTAAGCATATTTGATATCGATGACCAAATTAAATTCAAAATGTGAACTAAATTGTCACGTATTCATCTATCATCCTCCTACAATTCATGCATTACGGTGGCAATAACGCTAGAACATAAAACGAATAGTTTTATTATCCACAGAAATCATTTTCATGATGTTTTTCCTTTTTGCTTTTGCGGTTCAAGTTTGCATTGGGGAATTTTTTATTAGTGGCAATAGCGAAAATATAACTGCCGCATCATTCATCATGGTCGGAACTAACGTTTATTTATGCCAAATTGCCAGAAAGGCAAACTAAGAAAAAAAAGAAAAGCGAATTTCTTTCCAACAATTCATCTTCACGTACATTCTTTGATTTTCTTCTGTCTGTTCTATTTTCATACTATTCTTTATGGGTTTCCTTCTCGCCTGGATACTGTTGCTGATATAGCACGCATTGGCAGCCGTCAGTTGCAAAGCTTGTCAGCGGAGCAGAGAGCTTCTGCTGTTAATACTTTGGCTGATTTATTGGTTAGCCGTGAGGCTTTCATTTTGGAGGCCAACGCCAAGGATCTTGTTGAGGCACAACGTAACGGCTTGGCGAAGCCATTGTTGTCACGTTTGTCCCTGAACACGGGAAAATTGAGAAATTTGTCAGTTGGATTGAAACAGATTGCGGACTCCAGTCATAACGTAAGTATTTGAATATGTGTAATAGTCATCTTAGCTATATGTGTTTGTTCGTATTACGATTAGGTGTTCGATGTTGTGAATGTATTAAAAAGATAAAATTTTTATTATTATTATCTTTATACCCTCCACCTTAAATTTATTATTATAATTGAATACAATTTGAAATGGACTCTACCTCCAGGCGGAACATTGTATATGTAGGTCTACGTTTTCGTATACCCCCCATATAACCGTAACTCCCCATGTTCGGTATTTTTTTGGTTTTAGACAAATTTTTCACGGATGTGTCTAGAAAATTGGTATTTGTAGACCATAATGAGTTCCAGTTCCAGTGGCAGAATATTGAAGTCCTGGGTACACGTTTTCCTATAGCGCACATATAACGTTACCTACCGCACAAATGCCTCGGCAAATTTAAGAGAAATCGATTCAGAGGAGGATATTCAAATTTGATATTTCAGACTCGCAATTGTAGAATAGCCCCATATAATGGCTCCATCCTCTTTATTCTTTTTCGAAAAATTTAACTGCATTATCCAAACGATCTTACTGCTATTTGTAGTTTAAAGTGGAACACGTTTGAATTCAGAACTTTTATATACAAATTATACAAAGTGTCAGAATAGAAGCCAATTCGCAAAATATTTGGATGTTGAAATGGACCAAAAACAGGAAATTTTTTGTAATAGATCACAAACGGCGTATATTTTTTATCTCGGCGAAACACAAATACACTAAAAGGTCGCTTATGATCATTATATTGCTAATACCCAGAATATATGTAGCATAATATATACAATCTCATACATCAAATAGGGGGATGTCAATTATTGCGCTTATAAGTCAAAAACCGCTGGAGTAATTTGGACAATTCTCAGCAATTTGAAATGGCCTCTTGCCAGAAATGCATAAAATCTAAGAAAATCGCGTAGAAATATGCCACTTAAAAGTAAATATTTTCGTCATATATTTATCGCTTGCGATTTTTTCAAATTGACTTATAAATACGCCATGCCATATGTTGAGAGTATTATACACAGAGTGCAATTATCGTCCGATACTCACGAAATTTTGCTTGGAGGTAAGTTTAGGTTAGATTTTGAAGATGTACATTTAGGTGTTCAAATGGACAACAAACAATTCCTGATTTTGCAGTCGCTCCACAGGTCACAATTGAAAACCAATCGACACGGAATTTTCTATGAGGAGGAAGTTAAGAACAGGGTAGAAGTCTAACATTTTGAACAATCATTGAATTATATTTAGCGGGCAAAATGGATCACAACTTTCGTGTGAAATTGTTTTGAATACCTATCAGTACGACATAGAAAGAAATAGAGAAATAGAATGTGCTGGGCTTTATGGTATTTAAAAAAAAAAAAACGAAATCAACCAGAATGGATTTCGAACTAACGGGCTTCCAACATATTATAGTGTTGAAGGGTATAGCATGGTCGGTCCCGCACGACTATAGCATTTGCTTACTTGTCTTTACTTGTTATTATTCTTGTATGGCTGTATTACCGAAACACCCAAGTACTATATCTCTTTTGGAAACAAATAAATGCGACAAACAAACTTGAAAAATGAACAAAAACCCGAAATATATTCTGTTCCCAATAAAACTTAATATATTCTTTACACTTTGTAGTATTAACTCTAAAAATTGTGTGCGATCTATTTATCCATTAAACTGCATTTTACCCGAGAACCTGTTGGTATCGTTCATTATTTATTATATTTATCACAGATTTGTAATACATATTTTAATGTCACTCGGCTATTTATTACGGAGAGTGTGTACTTTTTCGTATTATTTAATGTGGCACAGAACTCATTTTCTTGTTATTTAGTTAAAAATAATTAGCGTAGGATTGTTAATGAACCTAAAATCAAAACTGAGAGACATTTGTACACTTCGTGCCAAATGTAATTGCCATAGAGTGCATACAACTTTGAGAAGACTAAAATTAAACATATAACGGAGCTATATCTATATCTGAACCGATTTTCACCACATTTGACTTATTTGCTTCCAGGCTATATTCGGGCGAATATGCCAAAATCGAAATCGGATAGACATATATATGGAAGCTGTATCTAAATTCGGACCGATTATCAATAATTTCAAAAAATTATTCGTGGAAAACTTCATCGCGATTGGGCAATAAATGAGACCCGTACTTTGTTTACAACAATACACGGACAGATGGCCGGACATGCATAAATCGATTCGGAATGATATTATATTAAAATAAACTATGGGTCTATCTATTCTTTTCTGCACGTTACAAATAAATGTACCAAGATATAGTACCGTGTGCCACAGTGTGGTGTATGTCAAATGTCTAAAAACAGGGTTAATTTTAGCTCTACAACAGGGTTCCTAATGATTTTAGCGACCTAATTTATCACAATTGTTTAAAATTTCTTATTTGAATATCGTAAGTTCATACAGGCCCCTTTATAACAGCAACTCCCTATATTCGGTATTTTTATGATTTTAGCAGTATTTTTCAACGGATTTTTTTTTTTAATTTTGCAAACTCCTTCCAAATAGTACAGAGTATTCAAAGTTCGACACGGCCAAACTTACTGCTTTTCATCTGCTAATGAAAAATATAACTTTTATGCATAATTATATGAAAATTCTCTTATCCATTGTAAAGCGACAGGAGTTAGGCCAATTGGAAAAACACGTTTGACGGCTATGTGTCTCAATTTATTATGTTGCTCCTCGACAGAGTTTATTTATTGAAGCTAATTTAAGCACTTCGACGTGTTGTTATCTTTGCAGTCGTTGTGCCTTAAGGCGCTATTCCTCAGGAAACTTAATCCACACTCCTTGTGTGTATAATTATACACATCGTTTCCTCTTGGATAGACTAATTAATAATTAACTTCATTTTCACTATTGCGACTCATTAAAATTCTTTACCTAATTAATTGTTATTAATGTTTGAATAAAGCGCCAGCTGTAATTTTCTCATGTTTCCAATTTCTTGTCAAATTCTGCAAATTCAAAAAATTAATGAACTATGTGGTGTATTGTAATTCATGTTAATCTCCCTCAACCCACTGTCCCAAGCTATAGACGCATACGTTGGTTCGTGTGCAGAAAGGATGAACTAAAGTAGTTGTATGTGTTTAACTTATCTGATGCGGCTGGTTGTTTGGGGAGAAGCATTCCCCAAGCAAAGTAAGTCTATTTTCGAAGTTTATGGCGAGTTTGTTGAAGTTTGCTTAATGTCTACCAGGGGCAATGTGAACTTGTGAATTGCCAGCACACGTACACCTAACTCTATGAACATGACTATTGACCATTAACTGTAATCACCATTGACTCTGGAACTAAAGTTCGCCTCCTCGTTTTGTAGTTATTGAAATTATTTTGGAAATATGAAAAGTGAAACAAAACGTATTAAATAACAATTTTTGCTAAGAAACTTTCGATGTTCATAGACTCATGGGTTATGTTAGGAGTTTGTTGTAATTTTAATTCATAATGGAACTTAATTGAAGAATAATATAAAATATTTAACTTTGTGACAAAAATTTTTATATAAAGAATGCCACAAAACTCATGCTACTTTATATGCGGACCATATAAAATGTGGTTCTAGTAATTTTCAACCGATGGTGTTTACATACTGAGTTACGCCGAGATCTGCAAAACATTCGAAATAATACTGTTATACGCGCAAACCTATAACTACCAAAAACAATTATAGCTTCATAAATGATATTTAATCATCTTTATCTATTATTACATTGACATATTTCGCCATTCTGCAAGCTCTCCACGCATTGTTTGAATTTTAAAATATTTGGTATCCCATTAACTTTAATGGCTTCATAACTTTTTGTAATTGCTGAAATAAAAATTGTCGTCACATTTCATTACAAGTTAGCTGAAAATTATTCTAGCACTGCGGAAAGTGGGAGAAAAGAAAATCAAAAAAAAAAAAAAAGGAAAAATATCCGTAAAATATCTATAAGGATCTGGTGTTTTTACCGCATCAACTTTGACGAAACTTTAAGCAAATATTGCAAGCCAACAATGTACAGTAGACTGCCGCAAAATAATGTAGCATATTTCAATTTTATCTACAATAAATAGTCGAGGTAATCATATTTGTCAAATCGGTAGAGGTAACACTTTTCATCCCCTCCACCATAATATGTATGATATAATAAGTTTATCACTCCGTTTGTAACTTATCGATGTAATCGTTCCTGATAAAATTCGAAGTTTTTTTTTTGGTTTTTGATTTAAGCAAATTTTTCAACGGAAATGTGAAGGTTTTCTTAACAGAATGGTGGAGGGTATTAACGCTCTCTTACTTGTTCTATTCTATGGCCTATAATTTTATATCCTCCAACAAACCCTCATGCATATTAACCCGGGTGGGGAGAAAGATAAATACGATTTTTTTTCCCAACAATTCATGGCGAGAATTCGATTGTTTTCCATTTATCGTGAGCGATAACATCGCGATTAGCGTACAACCACTTAAAACTTTCACAAGCATAAGCATTAACCGAAAAACTAACGATCGATCTTTCGCAAACATTCGTTTTTTGATAACTGTGCACCAAATGGCCAATATCAGTCCAAAAGTCCTGAATTTTGGCACATCCGACAAAATATAATCTGGGAGCAAGTACATTGAATTCGATGAAAAGTGGTTCAGATAAAGCTATAGCTCCCATATATATGTTTTATCTGATTTGGTATTTAAGTCCCCCATATTCGTAATCTGCACCCCAAAAGAATGGTGTTAACCAAATATCTCTCTTTCGGTTTAATTGTGTACCAAATGGCTAATACCAGTCCAAATGACCTGAATTTTTGGCACGATCTACCGATTTCCGTTTAGAAGTAAATAATTTAAATTTGGTGAAAATCGGTTCAGATATATCTATAGAACTCCCATGTATATATTTCATCCGATTTGGTGTTTAAGTACCTCACATTCGTAATATGCATTCGACAGCAATGATATTTGGTACCCGATATCTTTTAGAGCTCGGAAATACCTCTACTAAAATTTATTAAGATCGGATCAGGTTTGGATTTAGCTCCCATATATATCCCTAATCCGATTGTGCAAATAATGGTTGATATCAGCCCGAATGGAGTGAATTTTGGGATGCACGTTCTCATTTTGTGGAACTCGGCTCCGATATATATTTTTTTAATATAATCCTACTCGAATTGACATAATGCACTCTATACCAATATTATTTGGTATAAACGATTAAAATGTCTCCGTCAAATTTAGTGAAAATCGATTCAGAATTGAATATGCTTCTACTACACTAGTTCCGTATGAAAGCAAATTATAACTGCTCTAAAGGCAAATGTTCAAATAAATTCTTTTGTTACGGGAGCTCTATTAAATAAACATAGTGGTGTAGGGTACTATATAGTGGGCCCCGCCCGACTTTTGACTTTTCCTTACTGTTTTTTTTTTAATATAATTTTGTCCAGTAATAATTCGAGTTCCACAATAGCATAAGGCAAATGTTCAATATAACAAATAACAAAGTAGTAAGATTGGGCCGAACATTGGATACCCTCCACCATTTGGAAACTTAAAAAAAATCCGTTGAAAAATACTCTTAAAATCATTAAAAACCCGAATATACGGAGTTATCATCATATTAGGTTATATACGAAGACGCAAACCTGCACAGGCTAGAGGAACCCGTTACGAAGTGCAAATACGACATTTGGAACAATTCCGGTGGATATATTGTTAAAATCATCAAAATATGAAATATTGGGAGGTACCGTTTTATTTAGTTTTTATTTATTTGTATTTTTGCTAGTCATAATATCCTACCGAGATATTAAATGTTATAAGTAAACCGTAGAATTTAATGTTTGTCTGGTTCTAATGCTATTCTTTTGTACTGTATGCACGTACAAATGCCAGAAGATAGTAAAAGTTATTGTTAGTGGAAGTTCGTTGATGTCAGAATCAACCACTTCACTCATCATTCATTTCGAAGCTGTTAGGTGAAAACATTTTACCTTGAACACTGCATGTTCTCCAACAGCATGCTCTTACATATTTACGTTCATTTGTAAATATTCTGATGTCTCTGTTGGTGGAATGTCTTTAAATTTTAGTATAGATTCAAGATTCGAGCATGTTAAGCTCTATAAATATCCCTATATTTATTCAAATTTTAGTGAAATTTATATTTTAAAGTAATAAAATATTCAATATAACAAGAAATCAAGCAAAATTGAATTAGGAAACTTTAGTGTAAAAATACCTTTTTAATCTGACTACACAAAAATATATATATTTTCCCATACTAATCACTAAAAAGGTTCAACTACGTCCTTAACATGTCGTAATTGGATTTGTGGAGCAAATCAAAATATTTATAAAGGCATTTTTACATGACATGTAACTAAAAGTGTGAATTGTAGGGTATTGCTATGGCAACATGAAAGCGAGAATATGTTGATTCGGGCTCAGTGTTTTTCGCCAAACATTGTCACCCTTCCTTTCCCAAAAGTTTGCAAGATAAAAAAAAGTAATAAATAATGAATAAAGTTTAAATAAGAATAAAATGGACAAAGTGAAAACGTTGCAGTAACATCAAATCTAAGAACTTAATGGTAGCTATAAGGAGCTACCCCCGTCCCTCAGCTTTTGACCTTTGCCGTATTGCTGAGAAATGTTTATTGTAAGCGGACACAAACTTTCGTAAAATATCAATTTCATGTTCGCAATGAAGCTATTGACATGGGAGGGGAAATTATGTTGGTAAAATACTTAAATATTTCCGAATTACATTTTTCATTCAAATTACATCGATGCATCGTCTTATAAGACAAATTCTTATATCATTAAATGGTTTCATTCCAGAATGTTGGTCGTGTCCTAAGACGTACCAGACTAGCAGAGAATTTAGATTTGACACAAGTCACAGTCCCCATTGGAGTCTTATTGGTTATATTTGAATCTCGTCCAGACTCTTTACCTCAGGTGGCGGCTTTAGCTATAGCTTCTGCCAACGGCTTGCTGCTGAAAGGTGGAAAAGAAGCGTCGAACAGTAACAAAGCCTTAATGGAATTGGTGAAAGAAGCTTTGGCCACAGTTGGCGCTGAAAAGTCTGTATCATTGGTACGTATGTATTTGTTTGATATTTGCGGGTTGTTTAATAATTTGCAATGCCAATTGACAGGTGTCAACACGTGAGGAAATCAGTGATTTGTTGTCAATGGATGACCACATCGATTTAATTATCCCACGTGGTTCATCAGATTTGGTACGCAGCATTCAACAGCAGTCTCTTCACATTCCTGTACTGGGGCATGCCGAAGGTGTTTGTCACGTTTTCATTGATAAAGACGCCGACGTGAAAAAGGCACTGAAAATTGTCCGTGACGCTAAGTGTGACTATCCTGCTGGTAAGTAGTTCATTTACTTAGTACACATATACACATGTATATTCGACACTACAGGTTTGTTAACAAGAAATTTCAAGAAAATATATGTAAATGCCATTTTTATGGTAATGCTTTTATTATAACATGGCTATGCTGTGTACAGGTATCGATTTTTTTATAGAACAAAGGACAAGCACAGATTGACCATTTCGAATAATGTTGTTGGTTGATTAATCAATCTTTTCAAAATGTGGGAATATTTTTGATCGTGAATATAACAAATACGTGTATTCATTTTTCAAGTGGTGGGTGTGTATAGCAAATAATTGGGATGTTTTGGTACATGTATTTTTCCCAAATAAGGAGATATATTAAATTTTTGGAAGGTCTTTTTAATGCTGTCATTTCTGTGGAAAACTCTGGCTAAGACCTTGAAAATACCAAAAAAAAAAAAAAAAAAAAAAAAAAAAAAAACAATGCACTTGCATATATTAATATTTTTATACCCCCCACCATAGTATGGAGGGAATGTTAAGTTTGTCATTCCGTTTGTAACACCTCGAAATATACATTATAGACACCACAAAGTATATATATTCTTGAAGAGCATAAATTTTATGTCGATTTCGCGATGTCCGTCCGCATGTTCGTCTGTCCGCTTGTGGAAATCACTCTAGCTTTCGAACGAAATTAAGTGTGTTGATAAAATTTGACTCAAATGCACATTCTGTGTGCTGGTCTTTTGGTATTGAAAATGGGTTATGTAGGTCCACGTTTTGGTAAAGCCCCTTTTTTCAGTATTTTTGTGTTTTAAGCGTTAAGCATTATTAACCGGAAATGTTTCAAATTTGGTAATTGAAGTTCGTAGTGGATAGTACAGCCTCAGACAGAAAATTGTTTGTGCAAGTCCAAGTCTTCGTATATATATAAAAACGGTATCTCCCAATATTCGGTACTTTTAGCGATTTTATTCAAATTTGGTGTTTGAAGATTGTAATGGTAAGTACAGCCTATGACAGAAAATTGTCTGTGCAGGTCCACGATATCGTATAGCCTCCATATAATGGTATCTCCCCATGACATATTTTGATGATTTTAGCTACATTATTCACCGAATTTTTTTTATGTTTTGTATTTGAATATTGTAATGTAAAAGTTATCTATACAGATCCACGTCGCCGTAAAGACCGTAATATAATGGCTACATTCGGTATTTTTAAGATTTTCAATTTTTTTTTAAATTGCCAAATTCTTTCCAAATGGTGGAGGGTATTCAAAGATCGGTCTGGCCGAACTTACAGCTTTTATACTTGTTTCTAAATCTGAGTTGAACTTTTTGTTTTAATGCAGACTAAGTATGAAAATATTACATGGACTTTTCGACGAATATTTTCAGGCAAAAGTTTTTAAAAAATTTATAAATTTTAAAGATTTGTATTTTATTTTTTTTGTGGCCAATATTCTAAATGGATCTTACCTATATTGAAGATATAACTTTCATAATTTTGACAAAGCGCTCATTGTTCAAATTTAAGTCTAATTGTTTGGTAGATACCAAGATGAGAAGACCAATATATACAACTCATTGCCGCGTTTTATCTATCGGAAAAAATATTGGTATAAGCAAAGTATGAAGAAAATCGGAAGATAATTTCGACGAAAGATAACTTTGACCGTTTTTTAGGGAAGTACCAGAAGGATAAGAAGGTCCGAGTTGCTGGCCCGTCGATTTAGTTGGTAATGCTTATTTCTGATTTTTATACCCTACACCACATAGTGGTAAGGGTATTATGTCTTCGTGCATTTGTTTGTAACATGGAGAATGAAACGAGATAGACCCATAGTTACTTTTGAGAACCTTCATAGAATCACTTTCTGAGTCGATCCGTCCGTCTGTCCATGTATTCTTGTGAACAAAATGCAGGTCGCATTTATTATCCGATTGAGATGAAATTTTCCAAACAATTTTTTTTTGGCCCAAGGACGAACCTATTGAAATTGGTGAGAATCGGATCAAATTTAGATATAGCTCTCATATATATCTTCATCCGATTTCGGGTTAAATGTGCACCAAATGTCCACTATCAGTCCAAATTACCTGAATTTTGGCACACCCAACCGAGTTCGGCCTAGAAGCAAGTATATCAAATTTGAAGAAAATCGGTTCAGATATAGCTATAGCTCCCATATATATGTTTTATCCGATTTGGTTTTTAAGCCTCTCACATTCGTATTATGCACTCCACAAGAATGATATTTGGTACCAGATAAAAGATACAGCCCAGAAATAGCTGTTTGTAATTTTATCGAAATCGGTTCAGATTTGGATATAGCTCCCATATATATATCTTCATCCGATTTCGGGTGATTGACCACCAAATGGCCGTAATAGAATCAATTTTGGCAAATCCGAACGAAACCAGCTTAGAAGCAAGTACACCAATTTTAGTAAAAATCGGTTCAGATATAGCTATAGCTCCCATATATATCTTCATCCGATTTCGTGTTAATTGTTCATCAAATGGCCAATACCAGCCCAAATGGCATGAATTTTCGTACATAAGACCGAATTCAGTCTAGAAGCTAATACGTCAAATTTGGAGAAACCCGGTTCAGAGATAGCTATAGTTCGTAAAATGCACGATAGAATTAGATAGATTTTGATTTTGTACCAAAAATCTCATAGAGCTCTGAAATGCCCTGTATAAACCTTTTTACGAGAGCTCTACTAAATATGCATAGTGGTGTAGGGTATCATATAGTCGGCCCCGCCCGACTTTTGAGCTTTCCTTACTGGTTTAGTTATACGATATTTTGGTTTGACAGATGATTAGTATTGAGATTTCCTGTCTTAAAAAGTCAATATATTTTTATGTTTTGACATAGGTGATGTAAGTTATCAAACTGCCGATTTTAGTTACTGTGAAAATCCTAAGACAAATTCCCTAGGCCAAAACAGCTGTAAGATATTTTTTTCTGACATTCAAAGTGTAGAATTTATCGACACCACAACTTTTATAACTTTTTATTACGGTTCAAGATTTAAAATACCGTTGGTACCGACCGATTTTATGCATTTTTTAAACGAAGAGTATGTAATTCGATAGTTTGAGATCACAATGGATACTCGCTATAACTTCTATGTAATGGACTGCAGTTGCAAAATGGAAATGTCTACCACATTCAAGATACGGTATAATTTAATTGGTTGGAAGGTCCCAGTCAGTTTCTCACTCATAGAAATATTTTCAAAATACATGTTTCGAAATGAATGCACTAAATCACTAAAATTGCTGTAACTCATGAATCAGCGATAGTGTTTGAGGTTTTTTTGAAAATTTAAAAAAAATCGTTGAAAAATAGTCATCAAAATACTGAACAAGTGAAAAAGCTGTAAGTGCGTCCGGGCCGAACTTTGAATACCCTCCACCATTCGGAACGAATTTGACAATTTTCAAAAAAATAAAATCCGATAAAAATTATGTTAAGATCTTAAAAATACCAAATGTAGCCGTCATATTATAGTCTAAAGGACGACGTGGACCTGCTTAGGCAACTTTAGTTATAAGCCATTACAATATTCAAATGCGAAACTTAAAAAAATCGGTGAATAATGTGAAAAGGTGAAAAGGTACTATTGTATGGGGTACACCAATATGTGGATCTGTACAATTTTCTGTAATAGGGTGTAGTATCCATTACGAACTTCAAATACCAAAATTGAAACAATTCCGGTGAATGATGTCGCTAAAATCATCAAAGTCGTTCGAAAGATTACAACGACATAAAGACGGACATAGCTAAATCGACTTAGAATTTTACGCCTATCTAGAGTAAAAATACTTTGTTGGGTCTTACATGAGTATTTCGAGTGTGGTGGAAGTAGATGTAGCTAGTTCCTCCATCCCAAATGATTACTTAGGATTGAAAAGATAGAAACAGTGTCTCGTATACTAATTTTCAAACCGATATCTCCATTATTATTTCGAATATAACGATTTTATATAAATCGAAAAAAAGTGAGCGTGGTCAATTTTCCTTTCCATAAAAGAAATGTTCCAAACCTGCCCACCCATTCTCAACTGCTTCAATTATCAACGAACGACATTTGATTTTTGCAAACATAGATCGTTAAAGTGTTTTTTATTGACAGACTAGTCCTGGCACATGTCCATTACAAAAAATTTTATCGTCAGCATACAAAAGTACTCATTTTTAAAATTGTATCTCATAATTTTGACTCATCATCACTTTATTCGATTTCATTTGCTATTTCAGCCTGCAATGCCATGGAAACGCTACTCATCCACGAAGATTTAATGAGCGGTGACATTTTCAATAATGTGTGCAACATGTTGAAACGTGAAGGGGTTAAAATCTATTCAGGACCTAAACTGAATCAACAACTCACATTTGGTCCACCAGCTGCTAAAAGTTTAAAGCATGAATACGGTTCGCTTGAGTGCTGCATTGAAATCGTTAAGGACTTGGACGAGGCCATTGATCACATACACACATTCGGCAGTGGACACACTGATGTTATTGTGACCGAAAACGGTAAGCGAAATATATTATATACCGATGGGAAAAGATTCATTGATTTTCGAATAGTCATTGGCAATTTTTCTACGAATGGCTTTTAAATAATCTATGAAAAGTTTTTTGTTAATGGTGTATTTTTCCTTTTGCAGATTCAGCAGCGCAGCATTTCCTTTGCAGTGTTGATAGTGCCTGCGTGTTTCACAATGCCAGCTCACGTTTTGCTGATGGTTTCCGCTTTGGTCTGGGTGCCGAAGTTGGCATTTCAACAGCACGCATTCATGCCCGAGGACCAGTGGGTGTAGAAGGCTTACTCACTAGTAAATGGATTTTACGCGGCAACGATCACACGGCAGCTGATTTTGCAGAAGGCGGAAGAGGTGTTTGGTTGCATGAATCGATGCCAATTTAAATAGTAGCCTTTATGAGCTAAAAATCAATGTTCAGTCAAATGTTTCATACTTTCTAAATACGTGCTTTCATTATTCGGTTATATATATGTACTATGCAAAATGAAATTTATATTTTTATTAAAATTAGAAAAAACGGTACATTTTTTCAATCGTTATATCTTATGGACAGATTAATTTCAATAGTAGTGCTGCTGTGCAATAATACGTTTCCTACTCATCTGATTTTATTGATAATAAATATGTCGACAATAGTAGTTGGTACTTAGTTAAGTGTTCATATACTTTCATAGTTCATTATAATAACATTATCATCTAATCGAATTAAAATAAAATATGGTAAATGTTAGCTCAAACTTGCCCGAGGTTTAGTAAACAGCAGAAATTCGTAATTAAGACATTTTTTGCCCATACAACATCCCATTATTTGGGATTTTGTTCAACTAAGAAACATTTTATATCGGAATAGTTTAGCATTCGGTATTTACAGTAATGGTGACGAAGTATTGTCTATATAGGTCCAAGTTTTGGCCAAAATTCAAAAAATGAAAATCAGATATTTATTGTCAAACGTGTACAAATGAACTCTTAAGTGGTTAAGCTTTTTAGTATCTTGGCTTCATTCTAACGGCCCACTTCAAAAATAGCATCAAAAAAGAGAAAATGTAGTTAGTTGCTTTTTTCAGTGGGATCAGAGAAAAAGTGGAGTAAAAATAGAACTGTATTACAAAATTAAATACATTTTAAAATGAAAAATCTTGGCATTATTATTGAAAAGCAAGGTATTGGCTTATTTTTAGTGCAGTAATTTGTGTGTTTAGTATATGTGTATAATATAGAAGATGTGCGTGTTCTGAGTTGCCTTTAAGATTAATTTTGAAAATAAAATTGGATTTCAGTTAAAGTTTTAATTGTTTTCCCCCTGAATCCTCAAATGTGATTTTTTTCACGCCGTTAGTAATAGCCTTAAGATTCTAAAAGTGTTAATTTAACTTTCAGATTTTGTCAGATGTGTACGTTATGCCCAATATACTGAAGTGACTTCGCTGCAATTTTGTCAGTTCTATGGTGCTAGTGTCATAGAATATGTTTTTGTTGTTTGGAATTGATAAGGATGTAATTGAGGGGTGTTCAATAATGTTGCAAGCATTGTCTTCTGGGTATAATATTAATGTCGAAAAATTTAAGGCCTTTGCACTGGAAACTGCTAAAGAGTTAACAAACATATATCCATGGAACTATCTTCCACGCACAGTTCATTAAATTTTAATACATGCACCCGACATTATAAATTTGTCATTATATCGATTAGATAATTTTAGGAGGAGGCCGTGGAGTCTAGAAACAAAATCATACCCGAAAAATTCTCGCGTTTCAACAAACACAGATCTTATTAACTGTCTTCTTCTGAGCTCTGACCCTTTTTTAACGGGACAGCGAACGTTACCAAACAATAACCAGTAAAGAAAGTATTAAAGTCGGGCGGGCCGACTTCATGATACCCTACACCACTTTGCATATTTAGTAGAGCGTCATATAACAAATAAAGGTTTTAATGGGGAATTTGTGAGAATTAAATCATACCAACTATGATTATAGTAATAATTAAAAGTTCAAAGGAACTAATATATGGGAGGAATATCCTCCTCTACTAAATTTGTCGAGGCATTTGCGCCCTTTCAATTCGGACTTGTATTATCCATTTGGTGCACAATTAACTTGAAATTGGATATATATATATATATATTGGAGCTATATCTAAATTTGATTTGGGCTAATATTACATGTTTGGTGCACAATAAAAGGCAAATCGGACGAAGATATGTATTTGAGCCATATCCAAATATTAACAGATCTCGATAAAATTTAGAAAGGGTATTTCTGAGTTATATTTGATATATTTCCCCAAATATCGTTGTTACAGAGTGCATATTACGGCTGCGGAGGACAAAAATAATAAATCGGATGAACAATATATATGGGAGCTATATCTATATCTGAACCGATTTCGATCAAATTTGGCATACTTATTTTCAGGTCCAATCCGGTCGTACGTACATTCCATACTATTTGGGCTGATATTACAAATTTGGTGCACAATATACGGCAAATTGGACGAATATATATGGGAGCTATACCAAAAATTTGACCGATTATCTCCAATTTCAATAGGGCCTTAAGTCAAACAAATTATTTGTGCAAAATTTAACTTTGATTTAATTTTACATTAAATTGTCATTTTATTTTGTTTACAAAAAATAATCAAATTTGGACTTGATTTGTAGAATAAATACTTATATTTTTGGAGGTACCTTTACAGGGGGACTCTACTTAAAGGACGTAACGTAAAATTTCAAATAACGTAAAATTTCAAATAACATTACAATCTGGTGTAGAAATGTGACAAGAATTGGGCAAATAACCCTTATTCGGGAGGTACGTTGCCGTAAAGACCGTAATATAATGGCTACATTCGGTATTTTTAAGATTTTCAATTTTTTTTTTAAATTGCCAAATTCTTTCCAAATGGTGGAGGGTATTCAAAGATCGGTCTGGCCGAACTTACAGCTTTTATACTTGTTTCTAAATCTGAGTTGAACTTTTTGTTTTAATGCAGACTAAGTATGAAAATATTACATGGACTTTTCGACGAATATTTTCAGGCAAAAGTTTTTAAAAAATTTATAAATTTTAAAGATTTGTATTTTATTTTTTTTGTGGCCAATATTCTAAATGGATCTTACCTATATTGAAGATATAACTTTCATAATTTTGACAAAGCGCTCATTGTTCAAATTTAAGTCTAATTGTTTGGTAGATACCAAGATGAGAAGACCAATATATACAACTCATTGCCGCGTTTTATCTATCGGAAAAAATATTGGTATAAGCAAAGTATGAAGAAAATCGGAAGATAATTTCGACGAAAGATAACTTTGACCGTTTTTTAGGGAAGTACCAGAAGGATAAGAAGGTCCGAGTTGCTGGCCCGTCGATTTAGTTGGTAATGCTTATTTCTGATTTTTATACCCTACACCACATAGTGGTAAGGGTATTATGTCTTCGTGCATTTGTTTGTAAAATGGAGAATGAAACGAGATAGACCCATAGTTACTTTTGAGAACCTTCATAGAATCACTTTCTGAGTCGATCCGTCCGTCTGTCCATGTATTCTTGTGAACAAAATGCAGGTCGCATTTATTATCCGATTGAGATGAAATTTTCCAAACAATTTTTTTTTGGCCCAAGGACGAACCTATTGAAATTGGTGAGAATCGGATCAAATTTAGATATAGCTCTCATATATATCTTCATCCGATTTCGGGTTAAATGTGCACCAAATGTCCACTATCAGTCCAAATTACCTGAATTTTGGCACACCCAACCGAGTTCGGCCTAGAAGCAAGTATATCAAATTTGAAGAAAATCGGTTCAGATATAGCTATAGCTCCCATATATATGTTTTATCCGATTTGGTTTTTAAGCCTCTCACATTCGTATTATGCACTCCACAAGAATGATATTTGGTACCAGATAAAAGATACAGCCCAGAAATAGCTGTTTGTAATTTTATCGAAATCGGTTCAGATTTGGATATAGCTCCCATATATATATCTTCATCCGATTTCGGGTTAATTGTGCACCAAATGGCCGATATAAGTCCAAATGGACTGAATTTTAGTACATCGGACCAAATTCAGCCTAGAAGCAAGTATATCAAATTTAGTGAAAATCGGTTCAGATATAGATATAGCAACCATATATATGTTTCATCCGATTTAGTGTTTTAGTCCCTTACATTCGTAATATTCACTCCACAACCGTGATATTTGGTACCAGGTATTAGATGGAGCACAGGAATAGCTGTTTTAAATTTTACCGAAATCGGTTCAGATTTGGATATAGCTCTCATATATATCTTCATCCGATTTCGGGTGATTGACCACCAAATGGCCGTAATAGAATCAATTTTGGCAAATCCGAACGAAACCAGCTTAGAAGCAAGTACACCAATTTTAGTAAAAATCGGTTCAGATATAGCTATAGCTCCCATATATATCTTCATCCGATTTCGTGTTAATTGTTCATCAAATGGCCAATACCAGCCCAAATGGCATGAATTTTCGTACATAAGACCGAATTCAGTCTAGAAGCTAATATGTCAAATTTGGAGAAACCCGGTTCAGAGATAGCTATAGTTCGTAAAATGCACGATAGAATTAGATAGATTTTGATTTTGTACCAAAAATCTCATAGAGCTCTGAAATGCCCTGTATAAACCTTTTTACGAGAGCTCTACTAAATATGCATAGTGGTGTAGGGTATCATATAGTCGGCCCCGCCCGACTTTTGAGCTTTCCTTACTGGTTTAGTTATACGATATTTTGGTTTGACAGATGATTAGTATTGAGATTTCCTGTCTTAAAAAGTCAATATATTTTTATGTTTTGACATAGGTGATGTAAGTTATCAAACTGCCGATTTTAGTTACTGTGAAAATCCTAAGACAAATTCCCTAGGCCAAAACAGCTGTAAGATATTTTTTTCTGACATTCAAAGTGTAGAATTTATCGACACCACAACTTTTATAACTTTTTATTACGGTTCAAGATTTAAAATACCGTTGGTACCGACCGATTTTATGCATTTTTTAAACGAAGAGTATGTAATTCGATAGTTTGAGATCACAATGGATACTCGCTATAACTTCTATGTAATGGACTGCAGTTGCAAAATGGAAATGTCTACCACATTCAAGATACGGTATAATTTAATTGGTTGGAAGGTCCCAGTCAGTTTCTCACTCATAGAAATATTTTCAAAATACATGTTTCGAAATGAATGCACTAAATCACTAAAATTGCTGTAACTCATGAATCAGCGATAGTGTTTGAGGTTTTTTTGAAAATTTAAAAAAAATCGTTGAAAAATAGTCATCAAAATACTGAACAAGTGAAAAAGCTGTAAGTGCGTCCGGGCCGAACTTTGAATACCCTCCACCATTCGGAACGAATTTGACAATTTTCAAAAAAATAAAATCCGATAAAAATTATGTTAAGATCTTAAAAATACCAAATGTAGCCGTCATATTATAGTCTAAAGGACGACGTGGACCTGCTTAGGCAACTTTAGTTATAAGCCATTACAATATTCAAATGCGAAACTTAAAAAAATCGGTGAATAATGTGAAAAGGTGAAAAGGTACTATTGTATGGGGTACACCAATATGTGGATCTGTACAATTTTCTGTAATAGGGTGTAGTATCCATTACGAACTTCAAATACCAAAATTGAAACAATTCCGGTGAATGATGTCGCTAAAATCATCAAAGTCGTTCGAAAGATTACAACGACATAAAGACGGACATAGCTAAATCGACTTAGAATTTTACGCCTATCTAGAGTAAAAATACTTTGTTGGGTCTTACATGAGTATTTCGAGTGTGGTGGAAGTAGATGTAGCTAGTTCCTCCATCCCAAATGATTACTTAGGATTGAAAAGATAGAAACAGTGTCTCGTATACTAATTTTCAAACCGATATCTCCATTATTATTTCGAATATAACGATTTTATATAAATCGAAAAAAAGTGAGCGTGGTCAATTTTCCTTTCCATAAAAGAAATGTTCCAAACCTGCCCACCCATTCTCAACTGCTTCAATTATCAACGAACGACATTTGATTTTTGCAAACATAGATCGTTAAAGTGTTTTTTATTGACAGACTAGTCCTGGCACATGTCCATTACAAAAAATTTTATCGTCAGCATACAAAAGTACTCATTTTTAAAATTGTATCTCATAATTTTGACTCATCATCACTTTATTCGATTTCATTTGCTATTTCAGCCTGCAATGCCATGGAAACGCTACTCATCCACGAAGATTTAATGAGCGGTGACATTTTCAATAATGTGTGCAACATGTTGAAACGTGAAGGGGTTAAAATCTATTCAGGACCTAAACTGAATCAACAACTCACATTTGGTCCACCAGCTGCTAAAAGTTTAAAGCATGAATACGGTTCGCTTGAGTGCTGCATTGAAATCGTTAAGGACTTGGACGAGGCCATTGATCACATACACACATTCGGCAGTGGACACACTGATGTTATTGTGACCGAAAACGGTAAGCGAAATATATTATATACCGATGGGAAAAGATTCATTGATTTTCGAATAGTCATTGGCAATTTTTCTACGAATGGCTTTTAAATAATCTATGAAAAGTTTTTTGTTAATGGTGTATTTTTCCTTTTGCAGATTCAGCAGCGCAGCATTTCCTTTGCAGTGTTGATAGTGCCTGCGTGTTTCACAATGCCAGCTCACGTTTTGCTGATGGTTTCCGCTTTGGTCTGGGTGCCGAAGTTGGCATTTCAACAGCACGCATTCATGCCCGAGGACCAGTGGGTGTAGAAGGCTTACTCACTAGTAAATGGATTTTACGCGGCAACGATCACACGGCAGCTGATTTTGCAGAAGGCGGAAGAGGTGTTTGGTTGCATGAATCGATGCCAATTTAAATAGTAGCCTTTATGAGCTAAAAATCAATGTTCAGTCAAATGTTTCATACTTTCTAAATACGTGCTTTCATTATTCGGTTATATATATGTACTATGCAAAATGAAATTTATATTTTTATTAAAATTAGAAAAAACGGTACATTTTTTCAATCGTTATATCTTATGGACAGATTAATTTCAATAGTAGTGCTGCTGTGCAATAATACGTTTCCTACTCATCTGATTTTATTGATAATAAATATGTCGACAATAGTAGTTGGTACTTAGTTAAGTGTTCATATACTTTCATAGTTCATTATAATAACATTATCATCTAATCGAATTAAAATAAAATATGGTAAATGTTAGCTCAAACTTGCCCGAGGTTTAGTAAACAGCAGAAATTCGTAATTAAGACATTTTTTGCCCATACAACATCCCATTATTTGGGATTTTGTTCAACTAAGAAACATTTTATATCGGAATAGTTTAGCATTCGGTATTTACAGTAATGGTGACGAAGTATTGTCTATATAGGTCCAAGTTTTGGCCAAAATTCAAAAAATGAAAATCAGATATTTATTGTCAAACGTGTACAAATGAACTCTTAAGTGGTTAAGCTTTTTAGTATCTTGGCTTCATTCTAACGGCCCACTTCAAAAATAGCATCAAAAAAGAGAAAATGTAGTTAGTTGCTTTTTTCAGTGGGATCAGAGAAAAAGTGGAGTAAAAATAGAACTGTATTACAAAATTAAATACATTTTAAAATGAAAAATCTTGGCATTATTATTGAAAAGCAAGGTATTGGCTTATTTTTAGTGCAGTAATTTGTGTGTTTAGTATATGTGTATAATATAGAAGATGTGAGTGTTCTGAGTTGCCTTTAAGATTAATTTTGAAAATAAAATTGGATTTCAGTTAAAGTTTTAATTGTTTTCCCCCCTGAATCCTCAAATGTGATTTTTTTCACGCCGTTTTAACTTTCAGATTTTGTCAGATGTGTACGTTATGCCCAATATACTGAAGTGACTTCGCTGCAATTTTGTCAGTTCTATGGTGCTAGTGTCATAGAATATGTTTTTGTTGTTTGGAATTGATAAGGATGTAATTGAGGGGTGTTCAATAATGTTGCAAGCATTGTCTTCTGGGTATAATATTAATGTCGAAAAATTTAAGGCCTTTGCACTGGAAACTGCTAAAGAGTTAACAAACATATATCCATGGAACTATCTTCCACGCACAGTTCATTAAATTTTAATACATGCACCCGACATTATAAATTTGTCATTATATCGATTAGATAATTTTAGGAGGAGGCCGTGGAGTCTAGAAACAAAATCATACCCGAAAAATGCTCGCGTTTCAACAAACACAGATCTTATTAACTGTCTTCTTCTGAGCTTTGACCCTTTTTTAACGGGACAGCGAAAGTTACCAAACAATAACCAGTAAGGAAAGTATTAAAGTCGGGCGGGCCGACTTCATGATACCCTACACCACTTTGCATATTTAGTAGAGCGTCATATAACAAATAAAGGTTTTAATGGGGAATTTGTGAGAATTAAATCATACCAACTATGATTATAGTAATAATTAAAAGTTCAAAGGAACTAATATATGGGAGGAATATCCTCCTCTACTAAATTTGTCGAGGCATTTGCGCCCTTTCAATTCGGACTTGTATTATCCATTTGGTGCACAATTAACTTGAAATTGGATATATATATATATATTGGAGCTATATCTAAATTTGATTTGGGCTAATATTACATGTTTGGTGCACAATAAAAGGCAAATCGGACGAAGATATGTATTTGAGCCATATCCAAATATTAACAGATCTCGATAAAATTTAGAAAGGGTATTTCTGAGTTATATTTGATATATTTCCCCAAATATCGTTGTTACAGAGTGCATATTACGGCTGCGGAGGACAAAAATAATAAATCGGATGAACAATATATATGGGAGCTATATCTATATCTGAACCGATTTCGATCAAATTTGGCATACTTATTTTCAGGTCCAATCCGGTCGTACGTACATTCCATACTATTTGGGCTGATATTACAAATTTGGTGCACAATATGCGGCAAATTGGACGAATATATATGGGAGCTATACCAAAAATTTGACCGATTATCTCCAATTTCAATAGGGCCTTAAGTCAAACAAATTATTTGTGCAAAATTTAACTTTGATTTAATTTTACATTAAATTGTCATTTTATTTTGTTTACAAAAAATAATCAAATTTGGACTTGATTTGTATAATAAATACTTAAATTTTTGGAGGTACCTTTACAGGGGGACTCTACTTAAAGGACGTAACGTAAAATTTCAAATAACATTACAATCTGGTGTAGAAATGTGACAAGAATTGGGCAAATAACCCTTATTCGGGAGGTACGTTGTAAGGGGACCATGCCAAAACAGGCATCAACCATATCCATTTTGTCACATTTTTTATTTTTATCCCACCAAGGTACCAAAACCAAAGATTCATATTGATATCTGCACTGAAAGCATTTTTGGCCGCTGTTCTTATACGACCTCGACCACTGTGCAACGGTAACCCCGATGTGCGAAATTTTTAGTTACAATCGTTAAAAATTCGGTGTGCAGAGTTGGTAAAAGTTTATGTCTTCTGTGGTAAAAGACAGTTGGAATAGGTCCATAATTTTATATATCACTCGTATAGCGATACCTCTGAATGTTTAGGGTTATTTTAGCTACAGCTTTAACACATTTTTTTCTAATTTTGAAGATTGAAGACTTTTTACCAACCGTTTTTAAAGATGAAAGTGGACCCAATATTCAATTGTCACAAATGGGCAATATAAGCCCGAATTGAAAAGGCACAAATGTCCCGACCAATTTAGAAGAAATCGATTTAAAGGAGAACACCCTTCTCATATATTAGTTCGTTTGGACTTCAAATTATAACTGTAATCATATTTGGTATGATTTAGTCCTTACAATTTCCTTTTTTTGTTATGTAAACTTCTACTAAATATGCAAAGTGCTGTAGGGTATCATAAAGTCGGCCAGCCCGACTTTAAGACTTTCTTTATACTTCTATTCAGGCCAAATTTGGTCGTTTGTGCAAAATTTGATACTATTCGGGCTGATATTATACGTTTGGTGCACAATAAAATTCTAAAATTCTAAACGTCTTGTGCAAAATTTAATATGTATCGGGCAATAAATGCGATCTGTACGTTGTTTAAAGTCGGCCAGCCCGACTTTAAGACTTTCTTTATACTTCTATTCAGGCCAAATTTGGTCGTTTGTGCAAAATTTGATACTATTCGGGCTGATATTATACGTTTGGTGCACAATAAAATTCTAAAATTCTAAACGTCTTGTGCAAAATTTAATATGTATCGGGCAATAAATGCGATCTGTACGTTGTTTAAGCAGATCATCAAAAGGAACTATGGCTCGATTTTGCCTGTTACAGATAAATTAACAAATACATAATACCTTGACCACCCCTTGGTGTAGGTTATAAAAAAAGTACATACTAAAATACATAATATAGGGAAAATCTAAGCTTTTTGGATTTTCAACTTTTAAAGTGTATAACGTCTATTTCATTTTATTAAGTCACAAAAATAGTCTGTACCTTTACAGATGATAAAAATCGGTTTTAATGCGACAATTTTATTCGCAATTTGAAACATTTTTATTGTGATTTAATAATTCTATTTTTAATTCCGATTATTTGAATTGAAATCTTTAATTTGAATTATTTAATTTCTTCTGTTTTAACTTCATTCATTCCATTTTATAATCAAAAAAAAAACTGTTTTTTATACCCTTCACCATACATAGTATCGTCATTCCATTTGTAACTCTTCGAAATAATAATTTTAGATCCAATAAAGTAAAATTCTAGGACGATTTACCACTGTCTGTCCGTCTGTTATAATCACGATAGAGTCAAAACTAATTAAAATAAGAAGCTAAAATTTTGCAAAGATCTGTCTTTTTTCTGCACGCAGGTCAAGCACGAAGATGGGCTATATCGGTCCACGATATCGTATAGCTCCCATATAACGGTACCCCCCGATGGTTTCAGCCACATTTTTCAATGGAATTGTCTGAAATTCTACACAAGGAGTTCTTTCTGAGTACTTTACCCCCTGAAAGAGAATTGTCTCTAAAGGTCTACAATAACGTATATCCCTTTATAACGGTAATATTCCGTACGCAGGTTCACGTATGCGTATAGCCCCAATATCAAGATACCTCCCGATATTCGGTATTCTTATAATTTTAGGGACATTATTCACCGGAATTGTTTAGAATTTCGTATTTGAAACACGTAATAGGTAATGAAAATTATAACCCACATATAACGGCACCTCCTTTTATTTGGTATTTTGATGATATTAGCGGCATTATTCAACGGAATTGTTTCCAGTTTGATTATATTAGATAACTTTTTATCGGAATTGTTTTAAATGTCGTATTCTAAGTTCGTAATTTGTACTACTAGCCTATGACAAGTTCCTTAAAAATGCTGGAGGGTATTAAAAGTACGTCCCGGTCGAACTTAGCTTTTTTACTGATTTGTTTTAGCACTTATGTTTTTAGTGTTTTAAAGTGCATTGATAGCACAATTTCTTAACATTAATATTTCCAAAATATCTACGAAATATTTTAATTACCCCCTTCCGTTATATTATTCCACTTCTAACTTCTCTTAATATTCACATCGTATTGTTAACAATTAATATTGTCAATTTTAAAGTCTTTCATATGATGTAGTTCACAAATAAGAATTATAATTTTAAAAACAAGTAAAAAACATTAAGTTCGGCTGGGCCAAACTTTTAATACCCTCCACCTTAGGGTAAAGGAAACATTAGAGCCCATTATGACCCACATATACCAACTTTTACAAAAATTCATGGGAAAATGTGCCAAAAATCATCAAAATACCGAATATCGGGAAATACGGCTATATGGGGCTATACAAAAACGTGGATCTATACATACAGTGTTTCGCCAAAGGACCTAGAACCCAGTAAGACCTGCAACTATCGTAAAAAATGTGTCAAAAATCATCAATATACCGAATATCGAGAGATACAGTTATATGGGGACTATACCAAAACGTGGACCTATACATACAATGTTTCGCCACACGA